GAATGATAAAAAGGAAAAATACCTATCGCCTTTCGTTCTTTAAGAGTAAAAAGAATCAGATGACAATAAAACAATAAAAAATAAAAACATTATAATGAAAAAAATAATTAAATAAGAACATAACTTGAGCCCGATGACGTCCTTTTTAAAGATTTAAATGCGCGACATATTTTTACATTTAATCATTTCTATATTTTATTATTTATGATATATATATATATATATATATATATATATATATATATATATATATATTTTATAATATATATATATATATATATATATATATATATATATATATATATATATAAGTGAACCTGGAAGTCAACACTTAGAGGCGACAGTCTGTTTCATGCTAGATGCAATCGTCAGGCCACCATATATATATATATATATATATATATATATATATATATATATATATATATGTATGCATGTTTGTAGGCGGCATAATAATATCCCAAAATATATATATATATATTTTTCGCACACACACACACATATACTTATATAGACACACACATACATATATGCATATATATTTATGTGTGTATGTGTGTGTGTTTGTGTGTGTGTTTGTGTGTGTGTGTTTCAAGGATGCATAATAGTATCTGAAACAAAAGATGAGAATATATATATATATATATATATATATATATATATATATATATATATTAACATGCACACACAAACAGTCACATACACGCACAGGCACACAAACACGTTTTGAGGAGTCATACAAGGTCCCCTAAAAGACCCTTCCGCAGGTTTTGAATTCACAGTTGTCCTTCTCCTAGACCAGTTGCCATTCAAGGCTATAGAACCCAGTCTGTCCTACTATTTACCCATAACTGGAGGAATACAAGATGATTAATACCGTTCCCAAGTCTATTAGTACGTAAGTGCTAATACTGAAATTCGAACTCGGCTCTCTGATTCCTCATTCCGATCCGTTATACTCCACGGTGCCTCCCAATATATATATATATATATATATATATATATATATATATATATATATATATATATATATATATAAGAAAGAGATTGTAGTGGTTCCAACGAGAGAAAAGTATGTATATTAAAAAGAAGAGAAGATAGGTTCCGCAAACGTGTTTGGTTGTAATGTGTTTTTTTTAGAAAAAATATTATGCTTTATTTTCCATAATTTTACTACACGGGTTTCTGGTCTCATGACCGTCTTGAGGTAAAAGCGGAGATTTTTATATATTATTAAAAATAATTATGTTTTCCTTATGTTTTTCATTGTTAAATATTCTCGATATGAAACATTCTCTGTTTTTGTGTTAGTAATCCGAATGTCTTTCTTGAATTGACAATGAAGAGTTCTGCGCGAAGGGTCATAAAACAATTAAGATTGGTCCAAGCGAAACGATGAATTACTTATCGCCATTTTATCTTTTAATGTTTTACTGACCCCTGTGTGTTCTTAGATCTGTTTCCATTTCCGTGTGTTTCTGTCAGCATGCGTGTATATATGCGTGCGTATATTTCTCCTCCATACATATACTGCCTTACTATGAGGAATTAGTAAACTCATTTGTACACACATACACATACATACACATACGCACATACACACCGTCCCACCACATGGAATCATTACATATATATATATATATATATATATATATATATATATATATGCGCACACGGAGATATATATCTTTGTGTGTGTATTTGTAT